TGTATCACAATCTTCCAACGTTTATTCCTATTATATGTGACCGATATGCATAGAATTTTCAGTGATTTGTTTGGCAAATATGCTAATGTACCGGCATTATCGTTCACTTTTATAACAGAACTTCTGACCAAATATTTGATATAAGACGAACCTAGTGAACGGCCTAGATTATATAGTTTCCAAGCTACAGTGAACCTGGATACCACAACCATCGTCCATCAAAATAAAAAGTATTTCTGAGTGCCTGGCTTGATGCGTGTGTTATTTTGCTTCTTTTATGCCTCTTAGCACTACTACAGGTGTAAGTCTGTATCAGAGTGTGAGTAATGAGTTGCTGGTATTCAGTGTAACAATCCTGTAGAGGTGAACGAAAACCTGAAATATAAAGTTATGTAAATCATCGAAATTCGGTGCTGACCTCATTAGCTTTTATGGATATATCTAACTGGAGGTGCTCCGTCACGCATACGTACCAGATCATGGGTGTGTGCGTGATGCTACTAACCTCCTACGCCCGTTAGTCAACTTAGACTAAACGGCTCACGATATTTTCATAGGCATTTAAATGTATCTTTAAATCTAACCATTTCTAACTTCCAATCTGACTGGGTTGGCATTCTCCGATTGTCAAGGTATTAATGGTAAACGTGTTGTCCGATTCCGAATACCTGTAGCATCGTTGGTCATATGACCATAAGTAATTGTGGTATCGTGAGTTGCTTTTCCAGGTTTTATCTTGGGATCATTCACGAACCTGTGGTTACGAAATAAGTACGATGAATAAGCACAGCTACGGGCTTCTGCACAAGTGTCACGTGTCAGCGAATATTTTAGGAGTCTCCATTTTTCGGCTGTGGACAGTATATTTGATGTTTTGCGTCGAGTTCTGCAAAGTTTGTACATGTTTTATGGCTTTTATGATAATTATAAATGATCTGGGTGTTCACTATCTGAAAGAATGTTTACCAGAACGTTTACCAACGGACACTCGAACAAGCAAAAAGGATAGCTAATGACATCAGCAATTTAATGTTATTAGTTCTTTAACAAAAAGGCACTCTAAAATTTTCTTCAATATGATTCACCATACTGAGAGACTTTGATGAACATCAGTGCCTAGTAATTGTTTAGTAAGCTCCGGTTAACAAGTTCTGTGTTAAGTTATTTTCAGATGTTACGTACGTTCCTAGCATAAAAAGCTTAAGCAATTCTAACAATTGTTGGTATCCTTATTTGTTGAAGGATTGATATGTACATTATCTGGGAAGGAATAATCATAAAAATAATAATTGACGCTGATAACCTCTTCATTCTATCTTCTAAACACAGAGAGCAACCGCCTATAACATCGGTTTAGAGAGTGACTTGATAAGTTGCGTATTACTCATAAGTAATGTGAAACATGTTTGTTTTAAGCGCGGTCACTCAACTGTCTCCTTAATTAGTACACACTAACGGCCTATCAATTAAAGAAATTGACAATGGTTTTCTGTTAAATGCATCTTTAACCACTGACCACGTTTTAGACAGAGATCTAGAGCGTATCGGTGAGTAAATTTTGTCTTTTACTAGTTTATTATTGTATGAGAGCCATGGAATAACGGCAATGTTATGAAGTTTTGCACGTGAGGTTTTTCCCGATTTCTTGCAGTTTCTGAATAAGTTTATTTGTTGCCAACAAACATTTTGAGAATGTCAACTAAGTAGTTAAAAGTGTACGACGTTTATAGAATGAAGCATATTGTTTACTATGAGTAAGTCACTTATATCTATACCCTGCCAGCTGCTGTTCTATTTGCGTATTGACTTAAACGTACTTCAAAGTTTGATTAATCAACTGTTGCTCATAATTTCATTGGTTAAGCTGATGAGCTATCTATATTCAACTTATAGCCTTTATTTACTACCTCTATGGTCCAAACTTTCCCAATATTGAAGTCCAGACCAATTAATAGCTTCATTAATTGTTGGATATGGAAAATTGTGTAAACCAACAATGCACAAAACCAGGATAACTAAAATCTGTATTTACCACGTGCACGTTTATTCATATAATTAATTGTCTGTAGATAAATATAACAACTATACTCGCCGTCTTTAGTTTTGGAAACAGCTGACTATAAGCAAAAACAAGAAGAGCCTCAAACCATACGTAAGCTAGGTAACAGTTTGTAATATTTTGCACCAACAATCTTTCCAGTAGTCACCTAAATATTTTATAATAGTGAAGTTATTTTTCAAATAAGTTACATTTTCTCGAAAGTTGTAAACTGATGAGGTGCTTTCGTCTACCGTACCTGTATGTAGACGTTCGTAGCTTAGTTATGTTAAAGATAAAAATTACAATTATGTGAAACATATTATTGGTGTATTGTAACTACTGATAAAGCCAGAAGAACATTTAGCATGGAGATAACCTGAATCCACCCATGTCTGTGGGGTGGAACATTTTGTTTTATCATGGCTCCGTATGGTCAATTGGAATTATACGATTCAATGTTGTTGATACCGATTTCTCGTGCCAAAAACTTGTCTGACCCATGTATGTGACACTAAATTAGTTTCACTTCCTGATGAGAAATATTTTTGCAGGCAAGACCGGACAATCAAGCTAAATATGGGTCCACTCATGACTCCATAAAAGTTACAACAATAAAAATTAATTGTAATAATTTGGACGAGAAATAGCCAGTTGCCATTCGAACACTGTATTTTCCTTACTATATATTAATAATACACATAATAAACTTTTAGATTATGCTTCAATCATCACTCAGATAGTTCTTTGTCCACTCAGCTCAATATTGTAACTCGTTTCTTTTGACCTCATGAAATATGTTTGTTTATAAATTGACTTATTAAAAGAGAATGAGCCTAAGTATTCATGCCTTAATTATTTTTTCACAAATGACTAAACTTCACAGTCATGAGCACTACTTGTCTTGCTTCGCGCTCATCTCTTTACTCAGTTCTTCAGCACCCTCACTGCAAACCACCAAAAATACTTGTGGAAAATAGACCTTTCTCCTGCGCCGTCACTTATACCTCCGGAATTTATTAGAGATCACTCTTGAGAAGCACAAACTCATGCGTTCAAGTTAGCATCTTTGGTTAACTGCTCTGGACTTTAATTCCGGCCATTCTCGACCACCGATTGTTGCAACACAACCCTTACAAAGCGCCCCAACTCTCGTACTGGAAATTGTGGTCATACTAACATCAATATTATGATGTATGAAAATTCATCCCCGGCTTATATTGCTCATGTGTGACATAACATAAACCTGATTGAGTAACCTAATAAGGTAAAGCCTGTAGCATTTGATCTCACCGGTAAACGGATATACCTCATTCAGCATATTGTTAACATATTACCACTGTATAAACCAACCGTAACAGTCGTTCCATTTTCCATTTGCCTTAGTTCGTAGCCTACACAATTAACCTCGGTCAGTCGATCGCCAGGTGATATAAGGCTACTCATTAAGACACATTAGTTTCATCCTTTCACTTTGACATGTCTTTGAAAGGTTGTTCCAGCAAAATTGAATGAATAGACAGCCGTCAACCAACTTGGGTTCATTTAACTAGCAGTGATGCTTAAAATCTTACTGAAGCTCCACTTACTTGTCTGAAGCGGAATATGAGCATACACATTAATTTTGATTGAAAACAATTGCAGTGGCATCTGACAGGCAAACTGATCATTGAAATTTTTTAAAATGCACTGAATAATATTCTGGAATTAATTATATATATATATAAATATGACGACCTGCGGAGTACATGTATATTGTTGTTTCGCTTTTGAGGTTGTGTGTTTAATTGCTCACCGAAATTCGTACTACTGAAACGACTTTTTAATGATGGGCACCAACATAATAAAAGACTATCATCACATACGGGTTATTAAGAGAGACATATCTCAGCCACTTTCGAAAACAGGCCAGTCGTATTAAGACAACCTAATAATCGCAAAGGTCAGACTGAATATGATTGATCGAATGAACAATAAGATAAGACTGATCTACAGCTAGTTGCACAGGTAAATGGTTGTTAGCGGCAAGATAAAAATAACACATTTAAATAACACAAGGCTGTCTGATTTTCAGTCGATTGGGTTTAATATATGCTCGTTTAAACTGATCGTATAAGTTGATCACATTGTGTCTGAAAGCTTTCACCAATGTTATTCTGCGTGTTCAAGGTAAGTCATAAGTGACTGGTTTGAGATACGTTTACTAACAAGGAATAGACAACTAGTTTTCGTAGATCGTTTATTTGCCCCCGGTTTGATTGTAGGACTGTGTTAACACAGTAAAAATCTCTTCAACCCTCGTGTATAATTATCGTCCCAATTTGCGTTAGTGAATGATGTGATAAAATAAACCAAATACTGTAAAAAATTTCCAATGAGTCAATTTAAAACTCTTGTTGTAAACCTCACATTGTACTCGACACTGAAAACCGAACTTCTAACAGAGATGACATTTTATGTACTAGGTTTTCCATACGTATTAAAAGTGGAGAACATATTATGCCCTATAAAATTAATGAAATTACAGATGTGCCTTGAACAGTGAAATTATCTGAAAAGTGATTGAAGTTGACATCTGTACAACTCTATCTGACCTGAGTGCCTTTCAGTGAAAATAAGATACAACCCAGATCCATCTTAATAACGTTACACATTATATCATTCATTCACCTTTTTTTCTCCATGCCGCTCCTTATGTAAACCTCTGTTAAGGCGTTACTTAATGTTACCTTGATCATCTTGCGGAAATTTTTATTTCATCCGAGCGAAACTATGACCTACTGCTGAGTTGAATACTCGGCATTAGGAATTCTAACTTCTTGAGACCCATTTGTTTACCAACAATATAAACAAACCCCACTGTATCCATGGGATTCACTGACATAGCTTAAAACTAGTTATTAGAACATAAATAATGAACTGAATAAAATAAAAGCGTCATCAGTAGACTGAAATATCACGAATGGAAATAAAATGCGATGTTTTTTTGATTGTACATATAATCTTGTTTGAATTACTCATTTTGAGGGAACGTTTAATAGTTGTATTAGTTAACGCTTTGAATGTAGTTCGATGTCGTGAAATGTTTTTAAGAATAGTTCTAACATTAGTAATTTTACAGATTTTATGTCAAGCAAAGCATGTTTGTAAAGTTCCTGGAACTTCACCAATAGTAAGGACTTAATTTTAAACTTTATAAATAAGATTCATGCAACGTCATATAATTCTCGATCAAAACGGAGCACACCGAACTCTCAGTTGAAGTTTACCGTCGTTTACACGTCGGGATTTCAGAAAAATTCTCTGTTTGAGCAGATAAAGGTTAGTTGATCCGATGTGTTTCTTGTATCTTTGTTATAACTAGTACTGTCTCACTCATTTAATTCGTCTCTCTATATGTGTTTAACAGGTTCTTTCAGAACTTTTAACAACATTAATTAATAATTCATTTGTGCTATGAACACCGAGATTTTATACAATAGCTATTTTTTAAAATTTCTTGTGATTGTTCACTAACCTAATGAAACTATTGTGGTGCTTTTCAGAGTTGTCTTTGACAATATTTTATTTAATAATTTTGCAGCCATTTGCTTTTAATATGTTGAAGCTAATCAGAAGAAGGTTCATAGCATGTATTTAAGTCGATTTGTTCCCTAAATTCCCTAATAATGTTTTGTTCTGCTTTTGACATGAACCAAAAACTACAATCATTAAATTTGATAGTAGTATACTGATATCGAAAACCCATCGTTTTTTGTGAAACTGTACACACGTTTTTCATTTTATTTAGTTCAATATCTAGTATTATGCGTTATTCTTGGGCTAAGTTTAGCTGAAAGGTAATACCGCCCCAGATAGAATCGAAATTATAAAGAAGTGATTACGATATTGAATATCTTTTTATTATTATAACTTATCCTGCCGTTTGAGCAACCATTCAAAAACATCAGCACTGTATTGGAGATTTTGAGATAAAAATTTTTTATCCATCTCATGGCGTTAAACGATAGTAACTTATGTCATGTGGCTAATACCTTTAATAAAGTCAAGTATTTCATGAATAGCAAATATTGTGAGACGGATTGACTTTGCTTAGTATCTTAGGTTCATTCCTTAGATAAATTCTAATTTTCCGTAATGCGTACTTTTGAAACATGTTTTGTCGACCTTTGATGACAGCATTCCACCGAGATGTCCATTCTGAGTTAAGAGAAAACCCCTAAACTGCAAATATTGTCTTATCGTGTGTTCAACTGAGCATAAATAGTTCTTGTTTCTTGTTATTTTAAGGCCCAGGAAATTCACCGTATCTTGTGTCTTGCACTGAATCACAAATTTTGTTCTAAAGAGTCGAGCTGAGAAAACAAATCAGCTCATCGAGATGACGTTTTTTATAATATATGGTGAAATTATCATTATTAACTTCAAATGCAGCAACGTTTGTTTAATCCCATCTGAAGTCTAGTATTTTGTGACTAGACTATGAACACATCGACAAATTTTGATGCTAGCGGATTTATAACAGCTGCATTTGCTTGCCAATAATGCTTCCCTTCAAGTTGAAACCGCACATTTTTTGTGCACTACAGCAATATATATTCTGGCTTTTTCTTTGGAACGTCGTTAAAATTGACATAAGTAGATATCATACCAATATTCGCTTAGACGAGCCTTCAGACAAAAGAAGACTCAAAATCACTAGAGAACATTAACATTTTGTTTGATTTGCTGTCATTTGTTATATTAAACAAGTCAAAACTAGTCTCTAATCTGTTTAAAATTGATTTTTTTTTCAGAGGCGTAATTAGATAGGCCGATAGTGAATCACTTCTTGTTTAAGTGGGTTTTAGTGAATTACCGGATTTTTGAGTTTCATGTACAATACATAATATTAGGAAAAATAATCCCCAGCTGTAAACACACACAAGCCATTTCAGCCGTTATGTTTTACATGGCAGCTGGCTTGGAGTCTTCGTTATGTTCTTCACAATGCTATATATTTGTTCTACGTGTCTAGAACAAAGCACGAAAACTATTTCATATAACTTTTAGTGCTTAATTTAAGCAAATTTATCTACTAAACATATAAAATTGGTAATGGTGTGGTGTGGAAGTGACACTTATTTGTTGTAATTATATTAATTTATAACTGCATGTTCTCTAATAGCTTGAGGAATATTTGTTACCAATAGAGCCTGCTCTAATATTTGATAATTTTCATAACTGAATAATTCCAGTTGATACACTTCAGTTAAGCAAACATAAATTTTGGCGATTTCGATCAATGTTTCTGTGAGTATTTGGTACATTTCATTTGTACTTAAAGTTAGCAGTATAATTTAAGTTCAATAGTGGTTCAAAATTTTCAACACAAAACTGCTGTTGCTGATACCTGGTTGGACCTTTTACTTGATAGACATATTTACTCGGTTAGCAGCTTCAAACTAATTGATAATATCATGACTGTGATGACCTGATAAAGTTCTGGTGCTCCTTCTTGTTAAGCTTGTGGACACAACCGTTCGCTTACTACAATGTGACAATATAGAGACTGATATTGTTAAGTGCAATGAAGAACGGTATGATTTTAGACAGAATTTATTATGCACCAACTACTAATCCCCGAATCATACAAACAACTTCAGTTATTCAATGTATGTACTTAATTTTCAACGCCAACATATTAGCTGTCTGGGTCAAAAAGACTCTTGAAACTGCGAGAATTTGTTAAGATATCGTTGGATATATTCGGTTAGGTATAATAATTATGCCTACTCCCTCATATCTTTCAGTAAGATTGTTTCAGTTAATGCGTCTGTTCAGTAAAATTTATTCTCAAATTTTTTACAAAATTTGAGTGTTTAAATGAACTGTTTTGATGATGTCTTTATGTCAAAGGGCCTCATAAAATAATTACAGCTTGTAGTTAAGATCTTTTGACGTTTATTATCCCGATTTTTGAAAGCAAAAATCCAATTTTAACGGTTGTAGCTATGATAGATATTTTTTAATGATCTTACCAACCATACAGACAAACATTGTCCTTGGGTTCCCATTATTAGGTTTATGTTTTATCAACGGCAAACAACTTGAGCGGACACATTACTGACTAAGTTTTAAATTTACATCTATATGTCCCTCAAGCCTACTAAAAATATGAAATTTTTGTTTTACCATTGTCATTATTCGTTAACGCGTTCACATTTATTTAAACTCAAATCTCATTTTATCAAATTGTTGGTTTTCACCTTTTCAGTGATTTTTCACATAAGTATGATTGGGTCGCATTTTGTCTGTTTGGCACTTAAGTTGTCATAATTAACTAATGGTTGACAGATTTATGCATAAATTTAGGTGTGAATTCTCTTGTTGCTGCGAATTTTTAATTCAAAAAGAGCTTGAAAAGCAAATGATTAATCTCACTTGTTTTGAGTTGCAACAAAGCGCTTTTCATGGATATAATAAAAAGACATTATTATGTCATGGAGTAATAATAGTAGTGTATTTGTAATGTTCTACATGAGAATATTTTCACGATTAATTTGCGAGATTCTTGACCCACAAATGCATCTTTACAAATACTTATGTCATTATGGAGTAGATAGTGTTTTTAATCTGGTTACTATTTAACTTAAGAGGCCGTAATTCAGTGAGAGAGAAGTACCAAAATACATGTGAAATTTGAAACCATGGATACTTATACGGTAATGGTGTTCATCAATGAAAGTTTATTTGATTGTTTCACTGATCAATTAGAATAATTGAATGTATGGTTTTCTTTCACATCAAGAGTGATATCCATGAATTAGAATCAAATTTGTTCATAAGATAAATACACATTTTTCCCTATTTCGGCTTATCATCGATTTTTGATTTTATGAGACACTATATTTTTATGTTAAAGATTGCAGTAATTGTTTCTGCACTTTTTATAGACAAAAATTGTTCTGCCTTCGCTCGTGTACTGGGAAAACACATTAAGTGTGAAGAGGGTTGCTTCAGACAACATCATACTTGAGAGGTTAGACAGATATTCTTATTTTTCATATTAATTCATTCTGATACAATTAATTGATATTATGACAGTCGTAAATTAAGTCGTATTACATAAACTCCTCAGATCATTTAGCAAGCGATAAGAAAATTTTTTCTGAAAAGCTTTTGGTTGAAATTTTGTGGCAAGCCATGTATTTTGACTGCTGAAAATAAACTTGACTAGCACATATAGAAGGTTGGATATTCCCCATTTTCTATTTTTTAAAAGTAGGCAGTGAAATATTTTAAACCTTTTTCGTTGCTAAGCACTGTGTTTGCCATGAAAATGCAATTAATAATAAGCTTAAAACATAAATGATATAATTTTTGTGATCTTCCCCTATCTGTCCTTAGAATTATAATTTTTATCAAATAAATTAACCTTTTATAAGGCTGAGTGTAGCGTCTAAATGTTATGACCAATAACATGTTGGAAGAGAGCTAGTGGAAGACAAACCGGAACATGAATTCGCTGACAGATGGGATGAGTCGTGTAGATAACTGCAGACTATCTACTTTGGGTCGGTATGATTTTCGTAAACAATAGTTACAGGCTGTGTGACATGTTCATATGAACTTTCATCTAAACTTGAACGGATAGTTTCACAGTAGTCGAGGGCTTTCAGTATCCAGGTAATAACTGAACGACGTATTTATATCTGATATTTTTGATGTTTTATTATATTTCCTTGAAAAAGCTTGAATCAGTTTAATGGGCAGAACGGTGAATTTTTGAAGTTTATCCATTGAAATCTTGTACTAACACAGTTTTTCTCCTTTGTGATATGGCTTAGGATTGTTTGAATTAGCGTTAACGGATTCATTGTTCGTCCTTACTCGGATTCTTAGCTTCAAAATTACCTCAAAATTGTTTTCATCTGCAGATCCCTACATTCCAACTCGTGTAATAATTTGTATCCCTAATCATTTTCACTACAATTAATACTGTTACTAGTTAGATTACTTCAGCATATCATTGCGTTGATGTAGCTTAACAATTGAATATAATACAAAAATGTATCACGTTTTACACTTCATTGATTGACTGAGTCGCTGACCCTATGAAGCGAATACATTTACCGCAATAATTCAACTGAACACTGTTCACCGACAGCGAAAAGCGAAATTAGCAAATTAAATTAAAGTATTGCACTAATTGTAAATGTTTCATCAGATCTATGTTTTTATAGGAATGCTAAATTTTACTTTCTTTTACAAGACAATGTTTGGATGGACAAACTTCATACGTAAAATGGCCAAATGGTACACTTGGTATATATTGCAATAAAGGTTGTGAAAATATCACTAGATGTTTCACGGAACCCATACCTGATAACTATCTTAATGTGAGTTACATGTAAATTATTTTAAATTCATATCTATTTAATGTTTGTTCATTTAACCATCAAGAACTGTGAACTCTCTGTTCACAAATTATGTTAGGATTTATCCTACAGCTGGTTCTGTCCCTTTCTTATGAGATAGATTTAATGTAACTTCGTTCTAATGAAGTGAACTGCGAATAAAGCAGATATTGATTGTCCATTCAATCGGAACACAACCTTACTTTTGTTTATTAGTTAATTTTCTATCTTGCCAACTTCATAGCAAACTAAAAAGTGTCTATTCAAACTAAGTGCTTGGAAATTTGCAACCCGATGATCAGATTAGAACCGTTCAAGATAAAGTGAAGGATTTTTCAGTATATTCTTTCAGTCATTGCAATAATCTTGGCGACTAAAAAGCTCACTGAGATTTCAGGATATATTCGCTTTTTTTACCTATTCATGAAATTTTTCTATACCGAGTACAACACGATATTATCAAATAAAATGTGAGACATTTTCCATTTGGAAGTTTAATTCTTATCTACTTAACTCTAGCTGGCGAAGTAAGTATGTAGCGTTATACACTAAGGAAATTAGACCATAACCCAAAATTTCTGTTGTAAAGTAAACTTCAGCACTTCGTTAACCGTAGTTTAATAGGTTTTTTGACATAAAAAATATTGTACAGCATTGCTTGGTTTCCTATATATGCTCCGTTTGCCTTTAGAGCCATAATACTGAAACAGTTAATGAGTATAAGAATCTAATTACTATCTGGCCTAACTTGATTGATTTCTGAAAAAATGCAGAGCCACATTTGAGGTCGTTCTAAAACGTCACTCTGGTTTGACGCAAAATAATTAACGAAAAACGATTATTTCTTCAGTTTAGGATTCAAGCAAGCTTGTAGTCATTCAAAAAATGTTATGCTAAAAAACCGACATGGATAATGATAAATAAGATATAATTATTCTAGTAATTATTTGTTTTCCTCAGATGATTATTATTTAGTCAATTACTTAGTGGACTTCATTTATATTTCTAAAGGGATGCAAAGAGTTTGTTGCGAATAAGCCCAGTATACAAGGTTCAAGAGGGTCAGGAATACCACCAAACGGTTATTTAGTTTTTGTGGATGCTACAGCAACTGAACCATGTCAAAGTGATGATCTGTTGGCTTATGCACTGGCGTGTCAACTTGAGTTTGGTACTGACAGGTAGAACGCTTATTTTTTATTGTTATCTAGTTTTCCAATAACTGTTTTTGAATTAATAATATTATGAAAAACGATTATATAAAAAGTAAGTTAACTAACCTAATTGACAAGATAAAGTTATTCAGTTGAGTACATAATTCATTCCCTAAACGATTGTTTATTACATTGAGCTTTTGTGTAAATTAGATTTATTTTCTAATCCCTATATACCATTGTTTTTTTTGTTACATTGAATCATAGTTTGGTTCTAAGAATATCTTCATTCGATCATCTTTTTACTCATATTGCAGAAAAGATCCCTAGCTCATATATAGGAAGCAACGTTTCGTGATTGGCATGAACCTAGCCAACTGTATTTTGGTATTCTGATTTACATTACATCCGAATCAATCAAAATGTTATTGATTTGCATTGCTGATATAACGGTTTAAAATATTTTCTTCTCTCCCAACTATACTACGATAGTACGTTAACATGATAATAGGACTAGCCACGTTATATCAAATGCAGGATTCACGATCCAGAATAGAGAACCAAATTAGCACTAGATAATACTTTACCCATTACAACTACAAGCAGTCACACTCAGTTAGTTTGGGGTAGTAATCGATGGGAGGAAGGGAAATAATTGAGGGGATTTTAAGAGACTGTAGCATTTTCAAAGCTGTAATCACAAATCGATCTAAGTTAAAACCTGTGAGCACTGAATTGATTGAAGTTAGACATTAACACCGTTGGATGCCAGCTTGCGTTCGCGCGCGAGACTGAAGGTCCAAGATTCGAAATCCTCATGCGGGATCGTGTACGTGCGATGCTAAGGATAATGGAACAAAACGGTCGTCTGATGCCTCCAAGTTTTTAATGGAAGAAAACGAAACCACTTATTCGATAGTTTGTAGGTTTGTCGATGCTCAATGATCAATCCTATTTTACTTTCACCATCACTCATCAGTTACATGTAAATTGATTATATTTTTGATTGTCTAAGAATAAGTCTATTAACTCAAAATAAATGGTGGTTATTTTGAAATCTGAATGGTAGAATTCCGTTTACATGTAATTTCCCATATCAGTAAATTATTCCACCTTTTTTACATCTCCTACTAAGTATATTTTCTAGTATATTTTAAGAACATTTCCTCTGTTTGATTTATTGTGTCCAAATCAGTAAATATTTGCATTGCTAACAATACTTGGTTTTTTTTAACTCAGGCCAGTAGCGGGTTACGTTAATATGTGTCCAACTCAATTGTCAATAAAGCCAGGAGACGTTCGTTCCAGTATTTCTACTTTCATTCACGAAATGGCACATGCTTTGGTTAGTTATTTATTCATTGACAGCAGTACTATAAGTTACTTAAATTGTAAAGGATGTATGTACATGTGCATTTGTTCGAAAAAAAACCCTTGAGATAATGATCATATGCTCACTAGTGACTGGCTCCTTGAGGTAATTCCTGGAGTTCTAGTGAGAAGTCGTGGCCAGTGGAGCTAATCCATGTCAGGTAGAGACAGGTATCTACCTCAGTACATTGGGAGTTGGTTGCGCAATTTCGTGGATTGGTTGAGGTTAGACATTAACACCGTTGGATGCCAGCTCAGTGGTCTATCGGTTAAGGGCTCTGGCTCGAGACTGGCAGGTCCTGGGTTCGAATCTCGCGAGAGCGGGTTCGTGGATGCGCACTGCTGAGGAGTCCCATAATAGGACGAAACGACCGTCCAGTGCTTCCAGGTTTTCCACGGTGGTCTAGCTTCAATTGACTCATGATCTTAACTATAAAAATACATGCATCAGTGTCATGGTTTACATTGTACTAGCAAACTGGAAAAAAGTGGAACACTTTGAGGAACAGTTCAATTAGTCTCAGACTGCTCTTTAGTTACCCATCATTGACAATTTCTTCGGACTGGAAAGCAAATTTGAGCTGCAGCTCTTTTAAGCGTTAATAACTAACTTACGGCTGTCCGTCAAGAGTGACTTGCATATGTAAAAAGCACTAAGACTGATGGACAACAGCCAAAATAAATAGAGTTAGTTCACAAATCTTGTGTTTACTAGATATATTTCGCACTTTGGACTATATTTTCAAGTCTTTCTAACATTATTAGTTTCAGTTTATTTCTTCTGCTTCTTAAACAAACATTCTCGGGAGGGAAAGAAAACAAAGTTTACTGTTAATATATTGCTGATGTTCCTCTGGGTAAATATGCGTTATAAGTTTTGTTTATAATTATCGGATAGGATCTCTCGAGTGTTAAGGAAAATATTGTTTCATCATGAAGATCTTTTATATATCTATTTGCGGATCATTTAATAATAATATAAACACGTTAAATTAGTCAAATTATCCATTTCTAAAATCGCAATAAATTACCTTTATTTTTAATTTGAAAAAATACCAAATGTCATTTTGCTAAACATTATCCGTGCTTAAAACATGTTCACAGGGATTTTCAAGTACATCCTATGCTTTCCTACGTGAAGAAGATGGTACACCACGTACACCTAGAGACCCTCAAACAAACTTACCTGCACTTGGTCAAGATTCAGACTATATTTACGTAGCCAGGTAATTGAGAAACGTATTTTATTGTTAGAAATTTATCTGGTAAATACTATGCAGACACTAATATTTCGTGTTAAAATAAAAGACTTATATTCGTTGAAGCTATTAGACATCCTATTATTCAATGAAGATGACTTCTTACTTTTAAATTCTAAATGCGTTTTCTTACTACTATTAAGTTAAAGGTTTTGATTAGCCTCTCATATTCCATATTAAGCTTATCATACATAATCTTATGCTTCAATAAATTTCTACCATGGTCTTAATTTCATTTAAAAAAATTTCATACACTTCTTTCTTTATAGCCATCTGCTTCCCCTTCCATCTGCTCCTTAAATCTTCTACCCACTACCGGTTTATTTCTGTTTCTACGGTCCTCCTGATTACATTTAATCCCAATTCCAATATTTTATCTATTCATTCTGAGCCATCCTTTCCATAACTATCTTTTAATGAATATTTAAACCACTAACAATCAAATGATTATTAGATTCACTGTTTAAAAATTTTTTTAGTACCTTTCAATATTCTACCTCACTGTTACCATGTCTAACAGAAGTTTATTATCAGTATTATTGTAATTATTATCATCTTTAAAGAAGAGTATAAATATTTGCGATTGTACAGCTTCGAAAATGAATTCGCCAAAAACAGAACTCCTCGCTGAACCAATCTTTCTGACTTCAATAGATTGTCTCTTGTTCTTAAGTGTTATTCAAATTCTGTGGGTAAAAAGGGCAAACATTTTGTCTCTGGAAATTTTAAAACCAGGTCACAAATGTCAATGACTGAAAATGTAATCAATCCATGGAACGTCGATGCACTGTTTGTTTGGCTTCACCACCAATCGTTCTGAACTTCAAACAGAAATATTTGTTTACTGCTGAACAGAAGAAAGCTGATTTAATAAATATTCACATGAATTTGAGAATCAGATATTTTAGGTAACAGTTTATTCCAAACTTCGTGGGATGAGCTGGGTTAATATCTTGTACATGGCCACAAAAAGTAAAGTGCATAAGCTAAATAGTGACGGTCCTGTTTTCAAATAAACTTTGAGATTTTATGCGTATGGCACAGTTTTAGTCGATCAACTGAATTTAAAATACTTACCTTGAAAATATTAACCGTTTTGAACTTTTTCTGTAATATTAAACATTTGAAATCACTACTCACTGTCTTTCTCTTTCTTTCTAGTAAATCGACTGTTACAAAGGTTCAACGAATCTGGGTTTCTGCAGTCTCCACAACTATACGAACTGTAGATGCTTTTGTGCTTCCAAATGTATTGGTAAGTTAATTTTATATTATAGGTGGCTTCACTGATGAGCTTCTATATGTTTTCGTTTACTGGGTGTAATAACGAAACTTCCGTGTGCTCTGCTAATAATTCACTACTCCGGCTTCAATACTGTAAACGAAACTACCACCTTATTCCTTCTTTTTTGTTTATCTAGGTGAAAATTCTTTTAATAAGTTATATCATTACTAGAAACAAGTTATTACACTAATATGATTTTGTCTCTATGATTCCCAAGTAAATGCTTCAGTAAGCATCTTTATACAGAATAATATAAAATGATTTTTTAAGTAGCAACTCAAGAGATGGTGCAACTCAGTGACTCAAGGTGCAATCAGATGTGGCTCAAAATAGCAGACAGTGAAGATTCTACTGTAGTTTCCTTTATCATCCTTCACCGAAGCGAGAGTAACTCGCCTGACTGCAAGAAGTTTTGCTCTATTGTATTTTTATCTGTCATCTCATGTATTATTCTTGCTGACTCATTTACTTTACTTCTATTGATGGTAATCCCTCCCATTCTTTATTTCTTTTACAATCTAGTCTCTTTATTCTTCTTTAATGAGCAAGATAAAGAAGCAGTCTAAAAGTAGTTTCCATTTGCATGATTATGTAAAAAACATTTTCATAAATTGGAATCCTCTAAATGTAGATGTTAAGTGATAATGATAAAAAATGGAGATTAAATTTAAATGAACCATTCTTGCTAACGAATGGCATTTATCATAATAAATTATGTTAAATTGCTTATTATTCCACTTGATACTTTATAGATCCTTAACCTGTGAAAAAATGTTTTCATTTGTTATTGCTTCTGAGATATCTGTTTACATTTGACTTTTAGGCAGAAGCTAGAGCTCACTTTAACTGTCCTACAATGGATGGAATGGATTTAGAAAATGATGGAGGATCTGGGACAGCTTTTGTTCACTTCGAAAAAAGAATCACTGAAGTAAATTATTCATGATTTTAATAACTGTCTCACATGATAATATAATAAATCATTTTAAATTTTATCTACATAAGTAACAATTTAAAATATCGACATGCAATGACTGAGAACACAAGTGGCGACAAAAGGACGTATTGGAAAGCAAAATTACAGAATCTTTTAGTAAAATCTGAGAATCATACAGTAAATACTAATTTGCAAAATATCAATCAAGTGTTTCAAACTTAACTTTTCAAATGTCAATCAATCGTCTCAGACTTCACTGTTCCTTCATTTCCATACTAATCGCTTTTTGTTCATGTTCTTCCCTTCTCTATCTTCTCGACCTTCTGCTACCAGACATTCTATTCCTGACTAGTATCATATACTACTTATGTCGATATATGCAGCACACACCACAGACATGGTTCAGACTGTGTCAGATAACTATTTTTGGTTTTCCTTTGTAATTTTCAAAGTGATCGTAAGATTTTGTTGTAAAATTTTAATGTTCTTTATGTTTCAGGATGAACTCATGTCAGGAAGTTATTCAAAAGATTCTTACGTATCTTCTTTAACGTTGGCCTACTTTAAAGATACTGGGTAATAATATATATTTATTAAACACAGATCCTAATGAAGTTGGAGAAATAAAGCACGTCATAGTGTCAGTTAGAATGACTTATAGCTCAGATGGAATTTAAAACTTTTTTTAGAACTAGTCAGGCTACTTCTAATCATTCTGTCATCATTATTACAAACTTTGAAACATTTTTCAAAAGTCTGTTGCCTAGAATATGTAAACCTCCAAGTTAAAACAACTCTCTTTGGAGAACGCATCAATACTAGTCGAATAAGATATTAATTTTGATTCGCTAGACTTTCATTTTGAGTTACTTATATATTTAGTGTATGAACGTTTCATTAGAATGTTCACAAGAAATCAAGTAATGATTAGCTATGTATACTGTTATACCTATGTCAAAAGCAAACTTATTCCCGTTGATCTGACATGCGACCATATTTAAATAAGGTTGATATTCCTTTAGTACACAAAATACTATCATTTTCGCAATAGAAAATCTTAGTTATATGTCAGTCGTGGAATTCGTAGTTCATATTTAATAATGTCATACATTATTACTGGATTCTTCAAAACCTGCTCTTTTTCAGCTTATTATACAGATGTAAATTATTTTCATTTATATTGCTTAATGTTTCATATGGGCAAACTAACAACTTAGCTTTTTAATTATTATGTTCATTAGATTAATAACCGCACTACTCAGTAAATTTATTCATGAACAAATATCAACATATATATCAAGAAATGTAGACTATTTTCTATCATTCGTGATCCATCATAGAAGATTGTTTTTTTATTAGTAACCAAATATCCGTTTTACCGTTCTTGTAATTTATGACCTGAGTTTTAAAAATGACTCTTCCCGTACACTTTTGGTTTTATGATGTTAAATATACATAAAGGAGATATTAAAAATCCTTTGGTTAACTTTGTGTAAAATGAATATTTTACAATCAATACACTTATTTCTTTTGTCAAGCCAAAAGTTAAAACAGTCAGTATAAAGAATATTTGATGAGAAAACATCTAATAAATAGGTATAAAATTAGTGAAATATTTCTGATCTAATTGAGCAATAAATGGAAGTAAAATATGAATTACTTTTATGTAAATCTTTCAAAAGAAATACTGTAAAAAAAGAAGTAGTCACCAGAGAATTCTAACTAAACTTAATCATACAAAAAGAAGAAAACGGATATTTTTGTTTATATCCACTATAATTATTATTGTTACTGTAATCATTATTCTTGTAGTATACTATCTTTCCTTAGCTAATTATTATTTGATCCACTTTAAAATAAGATATTTATAAATTATTTGATTTTTACGTATAAATCTCTTGAAAGTGATGTGAACTTTTCAAATTGTCTATAACTATTCACAACCCATCTTGCCAGTTTTGGAACTTTAAGTCTTCCTTCAAATGACTTTTCACACGTAAACATGTTTTACGAATAACTCTTGTAACTGCATTTATTCATTCACCATTGTTTAATATTGGATGCTATTTTGTCGTTCAATACAAATAGGCCTGCAAACAGCTGATAAGAACCCTCAAAGTAAAATCAGTGTATATATTAATTTGCTTTAGTCTATTTTTTATCAAAGTCGATAAAGTTAACTAATTGATTGAAGTTTAAAATAACATAAGTGAGTTATTTTTGAGAAATCTCATTTTCTGTAGGTGATTTTTGGCACGAATAGATCTTAATTAGGATATTACTGAAAACCAAAAAGCACCGGATAGCTGGTTAGTTCCTGAATAAGACTTATCATATGTGTGGATCAGCTACCTCGCCTATGATCTAAACGCAGACCTTCAGGATTTGTAGCTGGCGATTAACTATTGAACTTACTGAAATAGGGTTAAATTTCTCCCAAAAATCAAAAATACTCATTCTAGAAACTTATTATCTCTAACGTTCAAACTCGACAATGTCCCTTCAGACTTTACTATTTATTATTCCAGTGATATTAATTTTTTATTATAAACTACTGTAGCATTTACTTTAAACAAATTTAGGTGGTATAATGTAAATATGTCTATGGCCCAAAATTGGAGGTTCGGTAAAAACTGGGGATGTGATTTCGTTCAATTGAGTTGCTACGAATACATGAAAAGACAAGTAGCAAAGTATGTTATTACTTATAAACACATATAATAGTTTCTCTCTAACGGCATCTAATATTTAATTTTTGTTGTTAGTATAAATGTTCATGGTAGTCTTTTTCATTAAAAAAAAGTATGCTTTTCAAAATTTTGGTGCCTTAGTAATTTAAGTATAATAAGATAAGAGTATTTAACTTGGCATTGTTAAACAAATTGATGAGATACTGTTTGAAATAATGAACTTCATAATCCATTATTTTTATGTAGAAACATTCATGAATCGTAAATTATTCCACACATATTGTTCATTTATTATTTAATTAATGAAACAGAATAAGTACTTCAATAGTCTGAAGTAATGAAATTTTGTATTATGAATAATAAAGTGCACCCACTTTTTTCTTCAGGTTTCGAAAATATCAAGTTGTGTAATAATATAACTATAATATCAAAATGTATGCAGAATTTAAAACAAAAATGTTTTATTTAATAACTGTGCACAGAATTATTTCTCAGTTCTGTGGATATAATAAAATGAAACTAAGTAAACAATTAAAGTTTTATTAAACTTCGTTTCAAAATTTACCAAAGCAAGAAATATGTTGCATTTTTTTACAGGAATAATCCTTTAACCCCCTATTGTACCAAACTTTCAAGCACTGATATCAAATGCTTAGGTTACGACGATGTCTTCGGCTCCTGTGACCTTCAACGCCAAAAAGACAAGGTACCAGTGGAAAATCAATATTTTACCAGTATAGATGGTGTTTCTGCTTCTGAATTACCATATTATGCTGGCGGATCTTTATTAAGTGACCGTTGCCCAGTATACAGGGTTTGTTGTGTTTTCTTAAAATTTTAATATAAATTTATATGACTGTTATTTTGCTCATAACTTCATAATATACAACAATTAGTTTCTTTAATAAATTTGGATAATTTAATAAGGAGACGGAGTTTATGTGTGATCGGATTGTTTGGAACTTATTATGCTAATACGTCACATAGTTTTGAGAATCTTCGTCTTCATATTACTCCATCCAAATTTCAAAATAATCTATTCAGGAATCAATCTGCTGTTTGAAAACTAGTGTAAGGTTGAAACTTTAATACAAAAAGATTGTCTTAAACAATACTTGTATTATGAACTCCTACAGTATCCTACAACCGTTTGTCCTTTTTCCAATTCTTTGGGCTTTTTCATTCATCGTAGTGTTTACTGATTGTATATAATACCATATCCAAAAATGAACAAATGTTTCCATTAAAGAACTGCATAAAATCAACCATTATGTTGGGTGCATATGAGGTTATCAATATACATCATAAATTAACATGTATTTATTAAATACACTTAGTCATCAACGTTATCAATGAAATTTTAATAATGAGCTGAGTGGCACTTCGTAGGTTTTTTTCATTGTGCTCTGATTAAGAACCAATTTGCTTGTCTTAATAAGTAATATGGATTTTAAATTTACATCCTAGTTGACATCCGAATGTTGACTCATAATATTTAAATTATAAATGAACGTTGTTTCAAAAAATAATGCAAACGTTTACAGATTGTGAAACCTATTTTTTATTTAGACTTCAGTCATTGTTGGATATTGAAGTGTTCACTAAGACTGTTCATAATTCTGTTAGTTTTGATTGAAAACTATAAATCATTACCTCAATTTTTAAAAAAATGGAGGAGTCAGTAAATCAAAATATGACATAAACTTCGTTGAAATTCAATCTTAGTTGCTGAAGTTTTGGCGGATTCTTGTAAAACCTTGTCTACTGATTAAGAAACTAAGCTAAACTTTTCAGGTCGATTAAACAATAGACGAAGTTTGATCTCAAGCACCATTATCTGAAGTTGTAACATAAAAAGATGTTTCTCAAAATCACACCGAAAGTTTTCACACTTGATTGTTTCTGTGAATATTTATAAATGAACTTGGATCTTACATGGGATCCGATAGAGGGCTAAAGTTTACCGACTTGTGAATTAACCTGTTACTCAAACGAACACGACTATTTGTAAGTCCCTCTCAAAACAGCCCATTCTTAATGGTGCAACACTGAAAGAGAATAACGGATTTAAGGACGTTCAAACTACTGCCAAAGTAGATTGTTTCGGTTAAATAACTTCCATTCAGGAGCTACGACTAGCTGAAGAATTTTAGTCACTAAGTAGCTTATACTGTGTAAAGTTGTAAATGCATTGTGAGCCACAAGTCCAAGTCCAGTAATTCCCTATGTCACTTTTAATCAATTCGATATACATTCCAACCATCGTCCAGTACCGCCACTAACATGTCTCATTTTCGACATCCAGCTGTTTGATCCATTAGCCGTAGGCTTTCACTGAATAAAAACATTTTTGACAGAATCATCCTAGTTTTTACCCAGTTAAGGTCTAAGAGTCGATCATACAAAACGTTAAAAATATTTTAAAACTAAAGGATAAATCGTGTTCCTTTCTCCATCTTATTTATGCGCTATATGAATAAAATGACCGTCTACCATAGAAACATCGAATTAATCCCTGCTCCAAACCAAGATAATTAATAAGTACTTGTCTTCCATTTGGTTACCTACATGTTTAGGATTTGTATTTTAACCGGAGTGTACGTCTAGATTTAAAGTAGTTAGCTTTATATACAGAGATATTTTTATGCAAATTTCTAGGAAATGGTTAATGATCAGAAGATCGTAATTTTTGACTTTTCAGCATATTATGAAACTTCTCAATTGTGTAAATTAAAGTAAACTATCATTTTTCATTTATATTGTGAATACGCGGTATGATTCTGAACACCATGAATGAGGTTTTTTCATCACCATGAAAAAAGGCCTCTATTCACTGGTTTTGTACTATCTTTTGTAACAGTCTATAACAATTTCTTTTTTCAAGCAATGATTAGTAAGCTGACAGTGCTTATTTTAAGTTGTCCAAATGTTCTTTCAATTGATTCCCTTTGACGAATTTCATCATCAGTTCTTCTGAATGTGATTTCTGTCATGTGAACATTAGATACGGGGTAATGTTTTGATCACATCCAAAATTAACGTTGTATAGTAAAGATATTCATTAACTAGCTTGAATTATTAGTATTAATTCATGTTTGATTAAAAATCAGTGAAAAACCACTAGATCAGTGAATTACACAGAAAATCAAATCATTTCAATCGATCTTCACTTGACAAATCACAGTTGATTCTTTTGAAAGCGCTAATTACTTTGACGTCGTACGTTAAGAAATCAACACTGGGTCATAAACAGCTTTAGACGATTAAAGAAATTTAGAGGTTGTTCATATAATATTTCCGAATTCTTGTCAACATCTGATCGAAACTGATATTTCTGAATATTTTGGAGAAAATAAAATCTATATACTTTGAAAATCTTTTTAAATGCAATTTTCTGAGATGATCATGAACATTTACAGTAGTGTCTTGTTAAGCACACCAAATTAAAACTTAGTTTCTAAACTTGTCAGACGAAGCGTCAAAAGTAATTTTGGCTTCAGGTTTTGGAGCAAAACCTAATAATGACCTCATAACTGCAGCTACTCACTCCAAGAAACGAGAAAACTATAGACCTTACTGATAATGTTGTGCGAAGTAGGGATCCACTTTTATTGTTGTATCAGGAACAATAAAATTCAGATAAATAAATGTCTATTACTCAGAAAATAGAGCATCTAATAATAACAAAATGGACCATGTTTAAGGACATCTGTCACAATAATATTCGTTCGGTTTTTGAGTTAATCTTGATCATATTAAACTTTCACATGAAACAAATATACTAATTGTCCTAAGATAATTACGCCTGTGTACTGACTTATAGATGTTATTACTAGTGAAGTGACTGATGCCTGACAGTAAGGTTTTTACTTGTCTGAAATGATCCACATTAGTTTGTTGTTTTAATGAAAAAAGGTCTAGTTTAATTATAATTTTTACATTTACTGCTTCCCTATCATATTAGTTATGCTCGTGTCTCCCTAGGCTATTTTGATCTTTAGATTTTACTTTATAAGTTATATGTTATTTATTTCTCGTAAGGTTCATATGATTTGAATAGCTTGCATTAAAAAGTCATATTTTAACCAAGATTACTGACGAAACCACCTATGGATTCAACAGATACACAAAAGAAGCTAGTTAAAACTAGTCTTAGTAACTCTATTCAATGAAAAAAAAGAAATTCACTTATCATGAACAGAGATTTTTTATATACCTTTCATAATTATTTCTCATGTCATCGCTTTGATAAACCACTTTACTCATAACTTTAAAAGAAAAGAGTGGTTTGACCTTATTTTATTTCGAAATTAAAATAGTACTTGTGAATCTGATAGTTGTTTGAAATTATATTTATTTAGCCACTTGAACCAGTGACTGGATATAAATATACATCATATTGTCGTCATATTGAAAATCAAGATACCGTTGGTTTGTGATTTCTATATTCACTATATATACAAAATATTTAGTTACCTCAATATACTAAAATAGTTGCTGCATTTTAAATCTGAAGTTTTTCTGCACTGACGTAGACTTCTAACATTTTTTGGTGTTCACTATGGTAAAACTAACATGCAGATAAAAAATTAAATAAAACTGTGTATTCAGATAACTAGTCATTAACATCTGTCACTTTTCAACTACATTGCACAATAACGCTTTATATACTATCGTTTAAGTTTTATTCATAGTTGGATGTTGGTGATGCTCATGTACATTTTGATTCCTTTATTAACTGATAGTACAGTTGGATGTAGTTGTTGAACAATAAAATTGTCACCATCATTTTGAAGTTAACAAACCTAATGGTAACACTAGTTTTATCAGGCACTTTCGAAGTTAATTGTATTCAATTACTGTCAGAGAGCAAAACATTCATATATATCTTTAGAGAAAATTGTCACTGATTGGATGGGATTCACTATTATAAAAACAATAGATTTTTATGGTGAACAGTATTGATTTTGATTTCTTCATGAACTTGGAGAACCCAAAGGTATATTTTACGTATCGAATTATGTATTACATTCAGTTAACAATTCGTTGGTTTTGGGACTTATTGACGGGCTGTTATGGTGTAATTACAAACCTTTATCGGCGAGACTAAACTACATGGACGACCTTTGAACGAATCTTAAATGACTTACTTACTTACTTTACTTTCGCCTGTTACTCCCAATGGAGCATAGGCCGGCGACCAGCTTTCTCCAACCCACTCTGTCCTGGGCCTTCTTTTCTAGTTCTATCCAGTTCTTGTTCATTCTTCTCATGTCTGTCTCTATTTCTCGGCGTAATATGTTCTTTGGTCTTCCTCTTCTCCGTTGACCTTCAGGATTCCATGTGAGGGCTTGTCTTGTGACGCAATTGGATGATTTCCTCAAAGTGTGCCCAATCCACTTCCAGCGCTTCTTCCTGATTTCTTCCTCTGCTGGAATCTGGTTTGTTGTCTCCCACAGTAACTTGTTGCTGATAGTGTCTGGCCATCTGATCCGAAGTATTTTGCGTAGACAGCTGTTGATGAACACTTGTATCTTCTGGATAATGGCTTTCGTAGTTCTCCACGTCTCCGCCCCATACAGTAGAACTGTCTTGACATTTGTATTGAAAATTCTAACCTTGGTGTTGGTTGACAATTGGTTTGAGCTCCAGATGCTTTTCAGTTGTAGGTATGCTGCTCTTGCTTTGCCGATCCGCGCCCTCACATCTGCATCTGATCCATCGTGTTCATCAATGATGCTGCCCAGATATGTAAAGGTTTCCACATCCTCCAAAGCTTCTCCGTCAAGTGTAATATGATTGGTGCATATTGTATTGTATCGAAGAGTCTTGCTTTTCCCTTTGTTTATATTGAGACCTACTGCTGCTGAGGCTGCTGCTACACTGGTCGTTTTCTCCTGCATTTGTTGTTGCGTTTGTGATAGAAGAGCCAGATCATCCGCGAAGTCTAAATCGTCAAGCTGCATCCTGCCTGTCTACTGTATCCCGTGATTTCCTCCAGATGTTGACGTCTTCATGATCCAGTCGATCACCAGGAGAAAGAGAAAGGGTGAGAGTAAGCAACCTTGCCTTACACCAGTCTTTACTTCAAACGAGTCGGTGAGTTGTCCTCCGTGGACGATTTGGCAGTTAAGTCCATCATAGGAGTTCCGTATGATATTTACTATCTTCTCAGGCACGCCGTAGTGTCGAAGAAGCTTCCATAGTGTCGTCCTGTCCACGCTATCAAATGCCTTCTCGTAGTCGATGAAGTTGATATAGAGTGATGAATTCCATTCGATTGATTGTTTCACAATGTTCCGCAGAGTTGTGATATGATCTGTGCATGATCTATCCTTACGAAATCCAGCTTGTTGATCTCGAAGTTGGGCGTCCACGGAATCCTTCATCCTGTTTAACAATACTCGGTTGAAGACTTTTCCTGGTATTGAGAGAAGAGTGATTCCCTTGTAGTTGTCGCACTTGCTCAGATCGCCTTTATTTGGTATCTTGATCAGAAGTCCATTTTTCCAGTCTATTGGTACTTGTTCTTCGTCCCAAATCTTACTGAAGATGATGTGGAGTATCTTGGCAGTTGCTGCTACATTTGCTTTCAGTGCCTCTGCCGGGATGTTGTCTGGTCCCGCTGCTTTGCCCCTCTTGACTTGTCTAATGGCCATGCTGATCTCTTCAATTGTTGGTGGACCAATATCGATTGGGAGGTCCGTGGGTGCTGCTTCGATGTTGTGTGGGTTCAGTGGAGCTGGTCGATTTGAGTTCTTTGAAGTGTTCTACCCACCTGTTTCGTTGTTCTTCAATGTCGGTGATTACTTGACCTTTCTTGTTTTTCACTGGTCTTTCTGGTTTACGGTAATTTCCAGCAAGTTTCTTTGTTGTATCATACAATTGTCTCATGTTTCCCTCTCTTGCAGCCTTTTCCGCTGTCGTTGCTAAATCTTTCACATATTTACGTTTGTCGGTTCTGATGCTCCTCTTCACTTGCTTGTTTGCCTCTGTGTATTCGACTTGTGCCTTGGCTTTTTCTGCTCTTGTTCGGCTGATATTGATTGCTGCCTTCTTGTTCCTCCTTGCTTCAATCTTATCCAGTGTACCAACAGTGATCCATTCCTTGTGATGGTGCTTCTTATGGCCCAGAACCTCTTGACACGTTGAAACGATTGCCTCCTTGATACCTTTCCAGTTGCTCTCCATTGTAGTCCCCTCTCCATTGAGTAGGTCATGAAAGGCCTGGAACCTGTTGCTGAGGGCTATGTTGAATTTGTTGAGTTTGTCAGCATCTCGAAGAAAGGCCGTATTAAACGTTTGTGATGTTGTCCACGCCGTTGTCCACTGCTTCTTGAGTTTTAGTTTCATCTTGGCGACCAGCAAATGATGATCGGATGCTATATCAGCTCCTCTTCTGGTTCTCACATCCTCCATCGTCCTCCTGAACTTTTTGTTGATGCAGATATGGTCGATTTGATTCTGTGTAGTGTGATCCGGTGAAATCCAAGTGGCTTTGTGTATGTTTTGTGTGGAAATATGGTTCCACCTATGACCAGTTTATTGAAGGCACAAAGGTTTGCAAATCTCTCACCATTTTCGTTCCTTCCTCCCAGTCCATGTTGTCCCCTGACGTCTTCGTATCCAGTGTTGTCCATTCCAACCTTAGCATTGAGATCTCCCATCAGAATTGTCAGGTCCTTGGTTGGGCACTTCTCGAAGATCGACTGCAGCCTATCGTAGAATTGGTCTTTAGCGTCTTCATCGTAGTCGTTGGTCGGCGCATAGCATTGGATGACGTTCATTGTAATGCCCTCTCTCTTTGTTTTGAAGGAGGCTTTGATGATCCTTGGTCCATGAGATTCCCATCCAATAAGTGCATTTTGTGCTTTTCTGGACAGCATCAATTCAACTCCTTGTGTATGTGGGGCATTTTCTTCTTCATGACCGGAGTATAACAGAAGTTCTCCTGAAGACAGTCGTTGTTGTCCAACCTGCGTCCAATGTGTTTCGCTGATTCCAAGAACCTCCAGGTTGTATTTTCTTATTTCTGCAGCAATTTGGAAAACTCTTCCGGTCTCCCACATTGTTCGGACATTCCATGTACCTATAAAAATTTTCGCTCTGGTTATAAGAAGGTGCATCGGCCTCATGACTTCCGAAGGAACTCGGCTTTTATCATGAGGCGTCATAATTATTCCTTCTACTCCCAGGGCAGAGTTTGAAAGGTTTGAATGATTTTTTCTGGTTAGCGTTTTTTTAGCGAGTTGATTTTCTACGGGATGGGGTCGCTAACCCCATGCGCAACCCTCCTCCTTTACCCGGGCTTGGGACCGGCAGCAACCCCCAGAGGAGCTACAGGCGGAGTTGAACCTTAAATGGCCTTGAGAAATATTAGCCAATCGGAAGACAGTTAGTGTACAGTAAAAATTTATTATACAAAACCAAAGAATTAAAGTGGATACACTTCTTTTACATAAGTCAAAAACTTCTCAAGTTCAGATATAGGTTCAGAAGTTTTAAAATCATTATGCATACGGTACAGGAACACATCCATATGGCTCCATAGTAGTCGACCTCTGAAACCATGATAAAGTCTCAAAAATTCTATTAGCCTCGACCACACAGCTTCAATATTGTTGATATATTGATCTGGTTTAGGGTTTAAGGTTAGAGTTAAGGTTTAGGGTTAAGAATGGGACTATATATTATGGACGACCTTTGAGCGACGCTAGAGTGACTCTGAGAGTGTCAACATAATAACTAAGACTAAATGAGGGTTATAAACCTGTGTGAAGAATTTAAATTATGATTTACAGCTCATGGTTAAGGTTAGGAATTATACTTAGGGTTTTCACCACGAACTGACATCAGCTATAATGTCAAAACTTTATTTATACAAATGGATAATTGAATTTCGCGCCGAAATCTTATGATCACTACTCTTGTAGACGCTGAATTATCACGTCTTCCCTAAAATCCGTTGTAAACCGACCGTATGTAAGCATCAGGTACCGAACTTAGCGCCGTGACCTTTAAAACCCGCGAAAGCTTCTGATTGACTCGTCCATAAAGTTTAGTCTTGCCACCTTTATCTGTTAAAGTGGTTAGATATGAATTACATGAGATTTTACTTCACTGTGTAATGTTAGTTGCTACTGCTACCATTTATGTCTACAGCCAATCGCATCTTCATTTTTTTAATCACTTATGTCATGTTAAAGCGAATGTAGTAATCAAGGTATTTTTTATGCTCTAGGCTATTTGTTTCTGTTTATTTCTCAGTAGATACACTAAGTAAGCTCAATGAACTAAAGGAAATGATGACAGGATAAATAAGATTTCCCTTTTTTTGACTAACAACTATTCTCCAGTTCATAAGTTAACCATAGAAATTTTAACTCTTCTGTCTGCTTTAAATGCTTTGAATGTTTTTCAACATAGAACAAAGCTGAATCGTTAATTAATGAATACGGAAACACTGTTTAATTCTTTCAGTTGATGATCAGAACGCAAACTGTTTGAAAACCATTATAATACATACTTTCCTGCCGATAAAAGTTAATAAAAATAATATTGTTACATCTTTTTTCTATGAGATTCTTGAGGCTCCTTACGCCTAAACATTTATTTTTGCATACACTTAAAAGATATTTAATATTGAATCGCGTACCATAAGGAAGGCAACAATAGCTATTAGGATGTCTACTTTCTGAACTAAAAGACAAACCAAATGAGTGTATAGTTGCTTTGTGCTTCTGCAAAACAAATGTTTGCGAAAGACTTGTCAAAAATAAATCAAGAAGCAGTATCATAACGTTACTTTTCTAATAAATCAAAATCTCTGGATTAATAGATAAAACTCTATTACTTTTCAGTAACTTTGTGTAAACCCAACAAATTATTTTTTACGTGAAAGTATCTTTATGAAGTTTGATTGATACGTCAGATAAATGCTGACTTATTGCTAAACGAGCAAGTAAACTGAAATATTATCTTAGATTAATGTTGACGCGTAACATTTGAAGTATTTATTTTCTGACGATTTTATACAGTTCGACTTGATATCAGTTAGGTTAACATGGAACAATACAGTTTGGCTCAACTTTAATTCATCGCAAGAGTTAGTCAAAAACAAAAATTACGTATTTTATTTTTTAATCTGATAGTTTTTTGTTTATTAGTGCTGAACTAAATTTAACGCCTAAAAATCTCTTTGTTTCAGATCCACAAAACAATTTTGCTTTGCAGTATTTTGGTCAAGATTCAGTATGTGTTAATCACGATACATACGCACCATGGATCAGCATTGTAGGAGGATTTTACAGAGATATATCTTTTCCCTACGCTAGTTGTCATAAAGTAAGAAAGCCATATACATATATAAATATTTTGAATAATTAGTTCTATTATTAAACGAAATAAATGTGACTGTAGATTAAAATTTTAAGGGAGAAAAAAGTGAAATGTCGAAAATTTTTCAATCATGGATTACATGCTAATTATTCTAGGTTTATGAAAACTTAGCAGTCGTAATAAAATCTATCAAACTGTGTTAATAATAATTATCCATAAATCTTTGTAAATGTATGGAAAATGAGTTATTTGTTTCATCAATTAATTTTTGCATAAAAAATGTTAAAATAGAGACGTTTTGGCTGTCTTTTCAATAGTGAATTGTGTAATATGTATTTGTTTCACACCAAACTAATAGTTTGTGGTAAATGAAAAGCTTTAGAACCCCTCAAACATTTAAAGTGTATTGATTTAAATGAGTATGTACACTAAGTAAAGTAAACGTACGCCTAACAGTTCGATTACAATAATAATAATAATAAAGACCATGTTTTGTTTTCTAGTACAATTGTTCAAGTGGTGGTATTGAATTACTTGTTGGAAAGCAAGTTACAAACTGTCCTGATGGAGAATCTATTGCAATAAATGCTTACGATAATAACATTAATGTCAGAGGATTAGTACTGTGTCCAAGTTGTAACGGAGCTTGCAATGTAAGTAACTTTATTTGTTTTCGAAGAAATCATTTACTTAAGTTGTACATTCGTACATATAGTCATATGGAAAATATATGTCTATAGGAGGCTAAGAAAGATTGCATTATAAGTAGATTCGAGAATAAATAACAAATGGGTATACGTACTAATCAAGGGGTAAGGAAGAAATTTAAGTAAATGATTTCGTCGAAAACAAAATTTTCTTCTCTGAATTCTTTTTTTCTTATTCAATGACATTATGGGTTATTTTAATTATCTGAAGAGCTGCAAGGATCATACGACAGTAAAGGAACTCAGTGGGTTTCTTAGTTATTCTGTCAAGCTTACCATAGCGAATAACGGAATCAACTTTATGAGAAGCTGTATAAACAAACGTGAATATCCAAGACCATTTTTCACGTCATTACGCCGTAACCATATTCATCCAAATCATCGTTCTTTGAAACGTCTTACTCTGAATTATGTCGATGAAATAAAGTCTAGAATACCAGAATTGGAACGGAATATCTTGTTACTTTCACGTAAATTATTTGATTTGTCAGAAGATCAATGTTTCAAATTCAAAGATCACATTGATATTGTTAGCAAAACTCGTACGGAATATGTGGTCTTGAAATTAATGGAAAGTTTAAAACAGACCGAGATGCAAGCTTCTTTTCCTGAATCTCCAGAGAAATATGTTTTCACTTACTCAAGCATAACATTATCGACTATTCACGTACAAGCAATACTCTTTGGTCTTAAATTTTGTAGTACGTTTGCTAACATTAGTGAACTGAACGCTAAAATTCAGTTTGAATGCCTCATTCGTCCGAAAAATGACCTTATTCCAGTATCTAATAAAGATTATGAGCATTTCAAGACAAATCTTGTAGACTGTTGTAATCAATATGTAAATAAAATACCTATAGTTAGTCGATTACTCACAAAAAAAAACATAAATCTCAATTATCTGATCTTCGGAGAAATCAGGACTTAGTATTATGTCTCCCAGACAAGGGTGCAGGAATTGTATTTATGGATCGCCTAGTCTATATCTCCAAAATATCTTCGATATCATCTGATCTAGTCAATTTTTCTAGAGAAACCATTCAAAATGACACAACTGAAGAAAAGGAACAGATATTAATTAAAATCCTAAAGAATATGAAAGATGAGTTTACTATCAACTGTAACCTCCATGAACACCTCACATCACCGGGTTCCGTAATACGAAGACTATATGGACTCCCAAAAGTTCATAAGAATAATGTCCCTTTAGATCCTATACTTGATTTCAAGTATATATGAACATAGTTAATGTTTAGAGAAACTTATCACTGCTCATAAGTCTTATTGTTTAATTATTCTATCATATTTTAGAAACACACAAACCTGTAATTGAAGATATTTAATTTAATTTATATTGTTTCTGTAATTATGAAATTAATTCATAGTACAGAGTTCTTATTTAAATCCATGATTACAATCATGGTAAATGTTACAAACAGAAATGATCATTAGTATTTAACGTAAATAGAAAACATTGATGTATAAACTCTAACGTTGATTTTGCATATCTTTAATCTCTTTTGTATTTTTTTCTTTGAACTTAGACTTGTTCCTACACATCTTTTGTAAGAAATCAAAACAATTCAGCATTTCATATAGCAAGTAACAACAATATATTACTTATTCATTGGATTATATTGTATAACGTTTTTAATCTATATATTTTTCTCATTTAGTAGCCTGGGGAAAAAACTATAAAGTAACTAATGGATGGGTTTTGAAAACGTTTTTTGTAGTCTATTAAATTATTTGCATATATTAAATACACTCTTTATATATAAATATATTTTTATTTCATTCATTGTTCAACTGGAGAATATCTTTCTCTGATAACAAATATCAGTAATTACAATTAATGATTAAAACTAACCCTCGTCATTTGCCTAGTTTTAACAGCCTATCCATAGTAACTGCCATTGATGACAGGTTTAAACATTAGAAAGATTTTTATCCCAGCGACTGTTAATAGTTTTCTACTAAAGTCATAAAATACATTAGCGTACTCTAAACTACATCTAAAGTTTCAATCATATTCCAATGACAGCTGGAAATAGTGAGATTGATAATTTTTTAAGTTTTAAGTTTTGAATATTGTTGTGCTATATAGAATCCAGCAAAACATACTTATTATTTTCTCAACTGTATTTAGTTCTAATCTGAAACCTGAATTTTTACTTTCATGATTTCTTGATATAAAAAGTATACATGATTTTTAAAAAAATAACCACTTAATTGATTTTTTAATGAAGTGCAAAAAAGGTATTCCAGAAATTTCGTATATAAGAAATATCTTTACGTGAATCTTCGACTTAAAGGTAACGAAACGTCAGATGTACTTAAGAAGAATGATATTCTACAACTTTTTTTGAGCAAAACAGTCTGACTTTATATTGCATATCGTTAATACTTCTGCAATTCAATAAAATTAAGTATATACACCTTTGATTAAACTCGTTTCAGTTGTATAAATTATCTTGAAAAAACCATTCCGTATGAATAAAACTGTGCAACATGTGGAAATGAAATCGCTGAGAGTAAAAAAAATTTTTGTTGAAATAATCATTTCCATTTACTATTTCCTTTTTTTATATTTATTAACTTACCCATTACCGCTACAAAGTTCAATCAGCTGAAATTTCAGCTCTTGACTATAATTTTGGTAAAGCTTATTCGAAAAGTAAATAATATGCTGTTCATTTACTTGAAGAATGATCAACAAAACAAACAAACATTTTAAGAATTTATGTAAAAAAGTATCATACACATATTAGCGTGACTGAGATATGATATATATATATATATATATATATATATATATAATGATTGTCAAATGATTGAAAATAACTTTAGGACATTTTGAATTAGATTCTATCAAGTGAGTAAAAAAGCAAGTATGAAACATGATTTCTAGAACAAATAATGGTTTCCTCACGTGAACTGGTGAGATGAAATACATAAGCGAAGAAAATGGCTAGTTGTGTGAATTATTTTGATAGCCTTGATGCTTATATATGCATGTTCAATATGAGATAAAATTTGTTTAGAATGTGGAAGAAGCAAAGGAGTAACTGTGCTTCTTCATTATATTATTCTTTGCATGGTTTATACTAGTTCACTGGTTTTTGTAACATTAATTTCCATTTAAGTCGTTCAGGTTTCACTCATTGAAAAGTTTGGTAGAAGGTTTCGTGGGAAAAAAATGTTCAAAAGGATTTTAAGATAAATTTTTATTAGCTAAAGTTAGCATTTTTAAGACTTCAAAAAGACTGCGTTCCTATGAATATCAAGAGTCTAGTTTCAACCAACGTTTGGGACATTTTCAGATATACCACTGACTTTAAAAAACAGAACTCAGTGGTAGTCGACTTCTCAGGAGCCCAAAAACTATGAAATAGGATTAATAAAACTAAGACTAATGTCGACTCTACTAAATAAACAACTACCTGTTTGACAAGCACGCCCCTCGAGAGTCTGTTACCTAGAATGGCTACCTCAGTTTACTTTGCGGATTCAAAATATTTCCGGACCAAACAGTTTAATATGATAAAATTAATTTGCCAAAATTAGGAAATTCTTTTTAATCTGACAACAGATCACAGTAAAAAGATATTCCAAATTGTCTTTCTCGGAATTCGTTGAAGGATTTCTCCAAGTGTCAGAATTTCGAATCGAGTAAGGAAGTGTTTGTTCGGCATCCTTATTCATACTACAACTGAAGTAAACTTTCACTATATATAACAAAAGTCTTTTCACCAATAACGGACGCTTTTGCCGCTTCAATAAAGCTTGCTAACGCTTCTCGAAAATCATTTCCTCGATGCTCCTTCACACATCTCTTCTTCGTTTTCTATGAATACTGGAATCGATGAAGAGAACATTATATGAAGCGAACCAAATGTTTACATGTTTTATTTACCTATCAATGCGTTTTCATGATATAATGAGAGAAAAAGTTATAGAAATTGAACGTTATTACGGACGTTCTAGGTTTTAGTGGACACCATTGGCTGATCGTGTTCAAGTAAACATTTTAATCATATTTATGATACTTTCTCAGCTCTGTTTAGCCAGCTTACTGGACTAATGTTTATTTGTATATGCCTCCAATCAAAGATGTTCACCTGCAAGCCATTATCTTCTTGTGGGTATTGGATATGACATACGCATACTAAGTATTGCTATAAAGGGACCTAACTACATTAGAAGCCCGTCTTGTCCAACTGTGGTGAACGAGAACACCAGTGGGGACAACCAACTGTTGGTGGGGTTTTGTTCTGGATGGTTTAGTCGTGGAGCCTTCATCGTTATTTTGAACGACATCATCAGCAAAAACTCCGATGTGATAATTAGTCGTATTTGAATTGTTATACAAAATAGGAATCCCAGGAATAACGCAATTTAACCATGAATGAACTAGATGAGCATGAACGAGCGTATTATATTTGCAATCGAAATCAAGCAGTTCTCATGTACAAAGGAATCGTTAGTTCATGCAAACACCACATTCAAGTGAAATGGAAGTGTTCCAATTTCTCCACGCATGGCTCACAGCTTGTCCCGTAGACCTCATTCTTGATTGGTTATTGTTGATCCTTAATCTGTCATTGTTTACTCCTTTAATTTGGTCGTATCTCTCACTGACTTGATTTTCGGTCCTATATTTGTCCATAATTTTTCTGATTAGTTGATAAACTGGATCGACTTCAATGTGTTTATTGATTTCTGCTTGACCTGAATGCCAAACTTCTAAATATTCCCTCGTCTTTTCAGAACTGTCTCTATCCAAGATCTCGACCTTTTTCAGTCGAATATGTGTCCACAGTTGTACACAAGCATTGATATAAGTAAGGATATGTCACGGCGTTTGATGTTCATGTAGGCGAAGATGAAAAGGGAGTCTACTTTGTAGTGCTTTTCGCAGTTGTAATTTTGTAGACGATGTTCGTTGAACAAGGTCAAAATGGGACTCATGAAGAATGAATAGGTTAGTCTGTCCGCAAGCTAGAACGACCCATGTTGGGTTGACATTGTACTAAATACTTCATCTGTTTATCTAAGTCTTGGCAACTTTCACCTTGATGGAATCAACATATGCTGGCTTGTAACCTTGATATTTTTTCTAAGCACTTCAATTATAATCAGTATGGAGATTTTCGGAGACTATATTATTTTCACGAGTCGATCTATGCTAGATCAACACTGAAAAAGGCACTGCTGAGAAACCCCACACAAGGACGAAATGGCCGATCAGTGCCTTTCAGTATACAATGGTGGTTTGCCTTTGACTGATTCGTGATTTCAGCGTTGAAAATATTTAAATTATTTTTTGACTGGTATAATGAATCGATGAATGTTAGACAACAATTGAAAACCTCGAAGCCCCGAGTGGCCGTTTCGTCCTAGTATAGGACTCCCTAGCAGTGCATATCCACGAACCCAGGACCTTCGGTATCGAGCGCGAACGTAGTGCTGAGGAGTTCCATACTGAGACGAAACAGCCGTCCGGTGCTTTCAGGTTTTCAGTGGTGATCTTGTAGTGCCGCGATTCGTTAACCGTTTACTTCGATAACCGTTATAATTCTAAACTTAACGGCGCGTAAAATCAGAAGACAAAGGATAGCAGCAACTACAGTTTATTGTCGAATGACTCAGGTTCGAAAGCTAACAACACCTGAGCGAATATGAACGAGCGAGTGAGCGGCAAGCGAGAGAGCGAGTGAACAGGCGAATAAGCGAAGGAAACGAACGAGGAGCAAGCGAGCAAATAGCAAGCAATTACATAGGCAATTTATAGTCAAATTTAATAAGGGCACAGCAAAGCAGAACAAAGGCTGATAATAATATTTGCGCGCGTACATATATGGGGAGGAGTATGAGTCATCGAATGATATTTAAGCAGTCAACATTTCGGCTAGAGTGTCATGTGCTCTAGTGGTATAGCAGTGCAAAGAATATACAAATTGTTACTATCCAAATGACGATGTCTGTTAAGCAAGTTATAAAAAAGGGCTTAACCAAAATTGGCTATAATAGAAATTGATTGTAGGATGGTTGCTATAATCTAACACTCACAGATTCACGTTCTCAATCTAAACTTTGCCAAACTACTCAACCTCTTATTGACTTCAATTATCGTTTGTTGCTTTTCATTCTGTAGTAATAAAGTCCTTGATGTGGTGGAGTTTCCTCAGCTAGGCGAAATCCGGAAGTGCCTTTAACGATTTACAACGAGTAACTACTCATCTAAACCGAAGCAGAGATCCCACAAACGTAGATGGTATACACTCAATAAAATTAAAGGAAGTCGTAGAGAATGTTGGAACTATTTATAATTCGTTTTTAAATTCACGTTGGTCATTTTTACAGGTTACACTGTAGTTATTTAGAAATTTCAAATAACCTGTTAGTCATTTATTAAGGCATTGCAGAAGATAGTGGTTAGAATCACATGTGTCTTTTAGTAGAACTGTTGTTTTTCCTAAACGATCGAAGCCCTTTCTTTTTTACATGCAACGTAATCATTTGAACAGAATGTTCATATACTTGGAGATGGTTATCCGCCAAAGCCCGTCAGAAAATTAATTGCTGTGTGATAAGGATCATCAGCAAGTAAATAGAAATTCTGCTTTCCTGTATTGCGTCCTTAGTTTTAACAGGTTCAATAACAACTAACTTCACAAAGGAAGTTCTTTTTAAAAATCAACCTTATTGGAGGGATTATTTCGCTAGTTAACCTTGTGTATGAACACCACACTTGTATGCAAGTGAGAAAAACAAACTTC